TATATATATATATATTGCACACACATGCCCTGCTGTCATCTTTTTTTTTAATCTAACATCCCTGCAGACCACAGAAGTTTGAATAAGATAAGAAAAAAAATGTGTTTGTATAATTCCCTGTGCTTCATCCTGACACATAATGTTTGTTCAGGTGGAACAAGAAGTCGGGCTTGTACTGGTGATTGACTGTTCTGTCTACGCTTCAGAAGCACAAGCTCATTCAGCAGCTGCTTGTTCCAGCTCGCAGGCTGCATCCAGTCATCTTCATGGCACTTTACAACTTGGTCATTAGAGTCAGACTCTCAAAGATCAGCAAAACAATTCCTTCATGGAGCGCGGCTTGTCTGATTCTGCTCCCTCTAAATGTTTGTTTGCATATGTTCATCAACTTGTTCAGCTGTCCTTCTTAAGGATTTAGTAAATTGAAACCGTTGTTCAGATCCTTTGCAGTGGAGTTTGGTGGAAAGGTTTTTAACAATTAACATCTTACCTGCTACAGATGGTTCTTCGACTGACTTCACTTTAAAGACATTTCAGTTTCATTTTGATCAGACTTGCTTTTGTGCCGATCTAAAACTACTAAAATAAATAAATAAAAAAAGAAATGCGTTATAAAAGAGTTTTATTTTCTTCAATGGACTTGTTATGATGATTTTTATGTACAAACAATAAATTGATATTTTCACAACCTCGGAGCAAACAATGTTATGGGCCYCTCCTTTGCTCTCTTGTGCCCCCCATCCCCTCCCCAGGTTGTGAACCACTGTTTTAAACCTTAACGCTGTTGTCCAATAGCCTGTATGCCACAGACTTCCATTCTAGCGCTTCCGCATTTTTTGGCCACAGACAGCACTTCCGGTTCTCAGGCAACACTGTGTTAGCGTAGGCTTTTTTCACTCGGTGGCTGCTGTCCACAGTACAGGATTTGCATATTACATGTACCAACATTAACACAGGAGACGTGCAAGTTGACAAAAGTACAGCCAAATGGAAAAATTACTCAAACGGATTAAACCCATAAAAACAAAAACAAAGGTAAGACGTCCAGAACTGTCTTTTTCACTATTCCTTGGCTTCTTGTTCTGTGGTTTTCCATTAAATGAACTATCATTAACTATAATTAATTATCAAATTAACTATTCTCTTGTACCTACTGGTTAGTGGACACAACAACACACAACATAACTCATGTTTTATACCAGTAGCTTGCAGATGCTTTAACTATTATGATTTTCTCATGGTCTACTTCTAGCAACTATGCTAAAAACAACACGCAGAAGGCAGGACCCGGAAGTGATGCTCGTGGCCTGAATTTTAATGAAAGTACATCACTAATAACCGTGGCAAATAGGCTTTTTTCATTATATAGTTATTCTCGCAGAAATATGATGATGATTCTGCAGGAATTAAGGTTAAAAAAAACTAATTTCAACAGGACAGAATTGTAAAATCCTTCCAAGAACCTTCACTCTGACATAATAGGCTTTGACACAACATATATTTTGCTGTAGGGCTATATTCTTCCAATTCAAGTTAAACAGGGAAAAGTGKGCATGATCAATGCAGGAGGCAGCACTTGGGTCACTTCAGAAGTGGAAGAACAACAACAGAACATTGATCTGTGCAGGAAAGTAAACATCAGGGCRAAGAAAAGCTGCACCTCTCACTAAAGCCACGTTCAGGAAATAAAATGCAACAGTGGGATTTAAAACCCTTCAGCCAAAAAGATGTTTGCACCAGAAAGAGGCATTTTCCTCTTGAACTAATTATTACTGTTTTATGCAGTATTGTTTTCATTTATTGCAGAATTTTTTTTAATTTTTTTCCACTCCGGACAATTTGCTAGTTTATTTTTTTGCAAAGTTTTAAAAGCATTGCTTATTTCTTTATGCTTTCCTTCTAAGGTGCCAGACTTTCCTTTAAAGTGTTATTACTTCTGGGAACCTTGAGAATTTTAAATRCTGAAGTTATTTTAAGTGGCGTTTTTAAGTATTTTTTTCAATGTTTTTCCACAATAAAGTCAAAATTTAAAATTAAAAATGACGTTTTATGCACAACCTTACCAACTCAAAGTTGAAATGTTGTACAAAATGAGTAAAAATTAAAGAAAGTTTTCTCTATATGCAAATATTTGCAGTCTGATTTTATTCATATTTTTCACACAGGCCCAATATTTTTTTTTCTCTTCTAAAGTTCAGTCTGATTTTTTTCTCAATTTGCTAATGCTTCAGAAAAGCAAAATTAGCAATTTTATTGTAAAACAAACAAAAATGAGTGTTTCATTGCTTCGTATTCAACCATCTGCAAAGCTTTTACATAATAACTGCACCGTTCCTCGTCTTCGTCAACAGTCAGCTGCTGATTTGTCTCCAACTGTGAGAGGWGCAGAGAATAAAACTTTTACAAATTGTCACATTAGATGCGCTGCAAGCAAAATGGAGATTACGGAGCCCTTGYCAGCACATTTATCTTTTTCCCATGAATCAGTAACAAAAGACAAACACRCCGGCTTTGGCTCTGGGGGAGGGAAACACTGCACCGCCTAATTTATAACAGAATGTAATGGGCCTTATGGGAACTCTGGCTTYAACTTTGAGCAATAGAACAACCTCACACATAAGACAGGAGCTATAGACACTGCATGTATTCTGCTCTCATTTGTGTGAAGTAATGATGCTTTTAAAYGCTGTATCATTAGCCAATGATGAAGCATATTAATATACAAAAACTGCATGCCCCCCCGCCCTTTTTTTTTTTTTGTTGGCGCATGTGAAGAAGTGCTGCAGCAAAGCCAGCAGGAGTTATAGAACCCTGGCCGGTGYGCTAATTGAGGGTAATATGCACTATTGATTAGAGATGCCTGCGGAGAAAGAAAACCCAACGAAGAATGCTACTGATACACTTGAAATTGACAAACTGAATTAGTCGTTGGACTGTTCCCATTAAGTTGAGAATTTACTTTGAAACTGCAGATTACATCTTTGTAACACTGCTTTGGATGTGACTGAATGCACCTGTTGAAGAACTGAAGACAACATTATCACATCGTTCCCAGAGAAAACTCAAACTCTATTTAAAGGGGTAATATCACCTGAAAACAAGTTTTTAAAGCTTTATATCATGTTAACATTATCTCCTCGTTAAAAACATACACAATTACTTTGACTCATTCATGCATGCTTGTGAAATCCTGTGCTGTCCTGAGGCAGTCATTCAAGGGAACAAAAATGGCTGGTTGGCCCTAGAATTGCYGTTTAGGTGCAGCTCCACCTCTGTGTCTCCAAGCCGAGCTTCCGCATCACAGAGCACACCTCTAGCAAACACTTAGTGAAACCGTCTGCTGAGCTCATAATACTTATCTGTCTAGTTTTTTTCAAATAAAAAAATGCCTTTGAGGAAATGGATTTTTGTATGTCAACGATGACACGGTTCTTAAGAAATGGTTTGATTTCATTTTTGGAAATAACCCTCTGACAAAGAAAAAATATTTATTTATATATCTGGGCGAGACGCTTTATGGATGATAGTTTTCAGAACAMAAGTGAATTTAATAGTGGACTAATAAGATTATCACTAAAAGATGATTAATGCAATTCCAACAATCAGAAGTACACAAACACCATTGTAAYCTGCCCAGGTAAGCTGAAGAACAACTCACTTTGTTTTGTTTGGTCTGTGATATACGGTTATCACTCATCACTTATATTATGATCTGTGTTCTTTAGTTGGTTAACACTACATTTTATTAATAAATAAATCAGCTTAACATTGACGTGCGTGTGAGGATGACTGGGAGATATCTTACCAAGCTGAAACGTCGTCTCTCTACTCGYGCCGCTTCATGAGAAAATGTATTTCCAGTTTGACTGTAAGGTTCAATTGCATCCTGAGTTGCCATTTTCCAWAATCGATATTGTATAATGTTGCTGCTTTTTAAAATTATTACAACTTAATAGGCTACAACACTACAGGTTGTAAATGGCATGAAGCTGTTGTGATGATGTGCAGAAATGGGCGTGACAGAAGCAGTAGGAGGTTCTTAAAGAGACAGAGGAAAATATCATGGTGTTTAGAAAAGGCTATGATGCAAAGTCTAATTTATTTTTGATTTATACATAACAGCTTTTTCATAACAACTGAAGGTGAGATAGTAACTTTATTATGGTATAGAATCAAACTATATGCCTTAGAAACACATAATATTGTCCCTTTAAAACCAAAGGTCTAGCAGTCGTGTGCTGGATATTTTGTGGTTGATTAACTGAATTTCAGATACACATTTATGTTAATCGATTGTAATCATTTACTTTCAACAGTAAGAGAATCAAAAAGTCTCTATTTAGTTTTAGTGTTTGTTTCTAGAGTTTACTTCCTTGTTTACTGTGGCACATAACCCACTGCCTTTCATGCCAGACCTTTAAACTAAGATGATTTTATGTTGGAAGTGACATAATTCTAGCTGTTTTGATAAAAAAAAAAAGTTTTGCACAATTTCATGCTCTACGTATGTGTTGGGAATGACTCTCAGCTACTCCTACATTTAGCTTAATATCTGTAAAACTTCCATTATACTTATTGGCAACAAAAATTGGGCAAAAATTTTGATAAAGCTGCTTTTATTACAGTGTTTTCATGAAAGATGAACGTCTGTTTTTTTCTTTTCAAAGGAGAAGTATATATAAAAAGATTTGCTCTGAGAATTTGTTTACACCAGTTTCTGTCCTGTTTTAATTAGTTTTTTTCACCATGAGCAACCTTTGAACTGTTTATTCAATAGAAATTCATGCAATTTCAACATTCCGCACARATAATCTTCCACGCTTTGATATTAGAGATCTTACACAAACAGGTTCATATGTTTTGGGTCTCAGTACTTATGTGCCTGTGTACATTTTATTTATTTTTTTTCACCTTGGCGGTTTAACACATCTGAAGAATTTTGCTCACAGTCGCAGAACGCCAGGCTCTCTGAACTCTGCAGGTAGCCTTGAATCTTTGGATGTTGAAAGGGATTCCAGAYGGCTACAAATTGAGCCTTGGGCAGATCTGCATATAAAACATCCAGGTGGACCAGCTGAGACTGATTCTGGGGGAATTCTCGACACAGATTGTGATACAGTATAACTCCTGAAGCCCCTCATGGGAGCAATGCTGCTTCAAATTAGCTTAATTAATTGTGAATTAAAAGAATCCCTGTTGATTTGTGGGTGAGGTGTGTTCACCTTGTGTTCACTGTGGTATACGTAATAGTTGCTCTGTGTTTTTCTACAACACAAAAATAAAAACCTAACATTCTTTGAAGGAATGCATATCACCTGCTTTTCATGCCAGTTATCATCTTACAAGAAGAAATGAAGGAACTGTGGACATTTTGGGCAAACATTATAAATGACATCCAGCACAGCCTCATGTAATATTCTAGAATCTTGTGAAATGTGTTCCTGGATGAGTCTCAACAACTATCAAACCAAGTTTTAGTTCAAGATGTGTAAAAAACMAACAGAGTTGGAGCTATGCTTGTACTAATATCAGTTTGCCTCGGAGGCCATCTCAAATTGGTTTGACTCCAAAAGTTAAAAAAAGTTAACTTTGCAAAAGTTAATCAGCTATAGATGCACAACAAATGATTACTGACTGAGAATTTCAATAAAATCAGTCCAGAGATTCATGAGATATTTTGTTAACAGGCAAAAAGCATTAACAGTTAATGCAGATTTTTAAGCAAATATCTTGCCATGAACAGTGCACAGGTATGTGTTATGGATGAAGCTCAGCTACAACCACACATAATTCCACATCTATATCTGTAAAACAGACTGGGTTTTAGCCATAATTATGTTTCCAAATGACAGGAGGCTTTGATGCCTGTCTTAAGTTAGATTTTCTCCAAAAGTGAATGAGTTGTCGAAGCACACCCAGTAAAAACTTTCTGAAAGTTTCAATAAAATCTGTTTCCTGCTTCATGAGATATTTTGTTAACAGACATACAGAGTTGACAATATTTAAAGGCAAAGTTTTTAAAAACACATCTCATGCAATCAGTTAGTGCTCAGATTATGTGTTGCAAATGACTCTCAGTTACTACCACACCAAATTTTAGCTCAAATGTTTAGCTGATTGAACCTCATAAAAACACTTTTTATCCAAAACTGCAAGCAAAACAGCCCTATTCTATAAAGTCATCATTTTGTGAGGAAACTGTGTAACTTAATCAATTTTGACAACTCGGTTAGATTTTTACCACTATTCWTGTTCATCTTGTTCTTTTATTCCTCTGAAACACTTTGCAGCTTGTTATCTCTGTAAATGTCTCATAAAAGTGACATTTTTTTTCTCCAGAGAGAGTTCCCTATTAGGCTGCAATATTGTCATGTAGAATTGAGTTTTCATCCATAYACTGTACAGCTTGGAGAAAATAGATAGGAACGTACAGGGGAGTTGAGCTGARGAAATGCCATAATTAGAAATGCAGCTGCAAYTTCAGCACCTTGGACAGCTCCATAGATTTATTGATGAATCGCAGAAACCGACAACTGCACTTTTGACTATTTGCTGAAAAGACGAGCAAATTTCCTTTTCTCCTCCTCACCTCTGGACACCGTACATCTTCATACTGGGACACTGGCTTTCTTGTACCACAGTGTTACTCAGGTCAACTTGTTTTATTATGGTAAATTTATTATTTCAAGTGTCTGTGMATGAGTGTGAATRTTTGTTTGTGTTAGCAAACAACTCTTTTGAACCAGTGGTAAGATCCAAATCTAAATMACTAGTGGAAATTAAAAATGGACATTAAACAAAACTCGGGACTTAGGAGGTTAATTTAGTACAGAACAGAACAGTAACAATGTATGGAACATGTTTTTGCTCATATCTAAAACATGCTTCTGGACCTAAATACATTGCAGATTGCATTTATGACTTTTGTTGATGCAATAATAATATGTAGCCAGACTTATAAATAAATAAATACAATGCAAAATCACAGAGTAAGATTTAAAACCAGTGCTTTTTTTATTTTTACGTTTTCTTTTACGCAGAAAATGAAAGAGGGGCTTGTTGCAGACAGAAGACGACTRTCTATTCTTTTACTAAAGGGACAAAAGTACTGTCTGTGCTTGAAAATAGAACCACTGATCCTGAAACTCATTTGGTTCAATAAACTGTATCTTTGTAAAATGAAAGCAGCCCTGGTTCAGTCCGGAGATGAATGCACACTGGACCCAGTATTGGTGGGTAAGGAAAGTAAAAAAAAAAACTCCAGCAGTAACTGAAGCCTGTTGTGGCAGAAAGTCAGTGTCATGGTAATGAAGCAATTAGCAAAAGGTTATTACTACTGCTGCTACGAGAGCGGGTGGGATTACTCACTCTCTGGGGAGAGTGATCGTTTTAAAAGGGGTCACAACAATCCACCAGCTGGAACCAGCATGTATCATTTTCTTCACTTCTGCCTATTGGGAAACTGCATTTTTTATATGTTATTATTTTTTGAAGAAAAAAAACCAAGTCAAAATAATGAATAGATCACATCCTCTGAGATTATGCCCTCACATTTCAACTTTATTTTTATTCGTAATATTGCAGCACACACTCATACCTGCAAGGGAAAAGCTGGTTTATTTATCTATGGTGTTAGGGACATCAACTAATTAGTCTATCTCACTTTTTCTCCCAACATTTTAAAACAAATTTATTTGTTTAGCCAACAAATCTAATAGTTTTCTTCGCATAAACATCCTGTAATCATTTAATGCAAAAAGCTGAACAAAGAGAGCCATTATTCAGTTTCAAGCATGGTATATATATATATATRTTAAATGCTGTCACAGATCAACTGTTCACCTCGTACAGTCTAGTTATTTACACACAATCCATAATAACAWAACACTATGAAATTTTAAAAAATGGATTTGTTTTCTTACGTTGCAGCTTGCGCTCGCACTAAAACTCCTCCAGCACAGCGACTCGGTCTGCGTGGAGATTCTGACGCCATTCTTCTCACGTGGATTTTTTTAATCTAAATGAAACAGAAAGAATGTCAATTTAATTAGCATTTGTACCAACTTGCAAAAAAACATCAAAAACAAAATGGACAGCTGCTGTATTAGTTCCAATCTCAAAACWGTTAAAGCACTCCAAGTGAAAACCGTTTCTTTGCATTATCAATAATTTTAAAGAATAAATTCATTGATGGAATAACCTGGTCGTTCAGCATATTCAGGTCATCGGCTGACCTCTTTCTTTGAGCACATTGTTGCTGAACCCAGACCTGACCAACAGCAGCAAGGGTTGTACTGTATATGCGGTAGACGGTAGAAACGATATGAAGTTGGCCTATGGTAGAAATTTATACTCTACCGTCCTATCATTACGTCATCTGCTCAGATGATGAAGATGAGCGCACAGCAGAGCAGCAGCTGATAAGTTCAGCAGGCAGATATTAAAGCAGGCATGGGCAGTCCTGGTCCTGCGGGGCCGCAGCCCTGCAGGTTTTACATGTTTCTCTGCTCCAACACACCTGATATGAAAGAACAGATGATTATCAGGCTTCTGACG